TAAATAAGTTATTTACCGTCCTATAGTCGGTCCGGATAGGGAAAAACTGTGCCCTCGGTCTTGAAAACGGACCTCGGCCTAACGGCCTCGGTCCGTATATTCAAGACCTCGGGCACAGTTTTTCCCTATCCGGACCTCCTGGCCGGTAAATAACATATATGTATTTTCATATCAGAAATTATTATTTTTTGATCTTTCAAATTTGAAAACTTATATCAAAATCTCATTTAACATGGGAATTGAAAAGCATACATGTATTATCGGGGGGAAAATGTAAGCTTAAGCTTATAAAGGAATTATACAAATAAGCTTATCATGAGAGAATCGAATGATTGCAAATCAAAATTCATAAGAAAAATAACGTGAAAACTTATTAAAAAAGGAATCTTTTTAAATTTGTGAGGGATTGTATAGCCAAAATACAACCGCTAAATACTTAAATCAAATTATTTCCCTTTAAACTTGTTTAAATTTGTAAAATTTACGTCTCGACATGGCTGACGTCTATTAAGGACTCTATGAAGACGTTCTTTGTACATAAACACGAAACAGCGACAACTTTAGTAGATTCTTATCGAAGAACTGACGGAAAAGCGAAGAATAAGCGACGAAATATTCCTCAAAGGCCTCAGAGATTTAGCATTTTGATAAATTCAGCGATATTGGTGAGTTAAGGGACGAAGAATAATGTATTCAAGAAAATAAGACTGACAAAACAACAATTAGGAAAACAAGACAGAGGTTCAAATATATTACGTTTCAGTTTCTGAGATCTTGATTGTTTTCACCGTTTAGACATGAAGAACACAAATAAATACATAGAATCGCTCAAAACGTTGTAAGAAGAGCCAGGTACAAGTTGTAGGGGTGACAACAACAATCAGGAGACAAATATAAGACCAGTTGATTTCAGGTACAAAGTGACCGAACGTTCGGTGCCATATACAAAACTCTCAAGTCAATACCTGGTCGTTGTTTTCTTGTCCCAGAGCTGATGTTGAGCCCCAGGAGAGCTCTAGTCGGTGGTTTAGTCTTCTCGCTTTCCGTCTCAGGTAAATCGGGCGATTTTGAGTTGCATTCTTCTTTTAATCGCTGGCCAAGACTGTGTATTTTAGCTTGCAAATCCTTCGCCATTCCCCATATTTACAATAAGACTATGTCAAAGCAAAGGACATGTGGCAGCCCTCACACATGCGCATTAAATATTGATCCACCATTACCCAGCATACATTGCAGCAAACGCACCGTTCCGTGTCTTTGAGTTGAAGTAGCTTTCTAAGACTAACAGAAATCAAAACCATAAAAACCTAACACCATCCAAACACAGGTACTTTGTTTGGGAAGCCATTTAGAGAGTCGCTCAACACATAACTGCACCATGCCACATGTTACCACTCTCTGTAGCCAATAGCACTTCTTCCAATCATGACCAATGCCTACTGTGCTGTCCAATGAAAGTCTCAAACTGGCAGTTCAAAAGTCATATTCGAGTGTGTAAATCTCTGGTTCGGTCCCATATAGGAAACTCCCTATCAGTTTATAGAATAATCTTCCTTGCATGTCAAAAGAATTTTTTGGATTGTTCAAAGTTCAATAGGGTGTGGCTGGTTGCAGGTGGCTAAAAATAAACCAGAAGCTTCTATAAATAATTATATCGGTTTATAAATAACAATTTAAAGGTCACCAAATATCAAAATATGTTAAACTGACAATGTTCGGACAATGGAAAAAGCCCCATCAATTTTTTGAGAGCAACTGCTATTAATGGAATCTGGCCCAATAAGCAGTTATCTAGGGATACCCATTCACAGCCGAAATAAATAAATTCTATAACTGTTACAAAGGTAACAATTTTCCAAGTAATTATTTGAATGACCAAATTGACATTTTTCAGTTATTAATTTATTTCCCACCTAAAAGAAAATTAAGTTCCCAAGCTTTTTTTAAATCAAAAAAATGAAAATTTTCCTAGTGTTTCCTAATAGACCCATTCTTGTACCCAGTCCCTTCTTATCAAAAAGTCGATTTTTCGTTAGAAAGCTGAGAAAGGCTTTGGGTTTGAGAATGGAAACAAACCCTTCTCAAAAATTATGGATGCAAGACTAATTTAAAGATACAAAAGAAATCACCTTTTTTGTCTACATAATTTCATTTCTTTTATATTTCCATGTTAGCCTCGCAACCAAGATCCTTTTGAGAAGGGTTTTTTTTTCAAAATTTCTCACCAGAGATATATAACATTCTTCCTGGATTATGATCGAGTCTTGTATATATCAATGATGAGTGAAGGACAGGACAACAACAAAAACGTTTTTTGTAGTTGCACAATTTTTGGGTTGTATGAAAAAGCATTGATATTATTTTGGAGTAATCAATAGGTGTTCCCCTGAATATATAAATTATTTTTTGGATAGTTATTAGCTATGATTGTAATTATGACAATGGTATTTTGATGCATTTTTTAGGGAAGTTCTAACCACTTTAAATGGCAATCCCCTCTCTCCGCACTTCAACATAACTAACCAACATAACATACTGTAAGAAGAAATAAAAGAACTCAAAGCATTAAGAAACCCTGGCAGTGACCAAACAAGTGCACAGGGCTTAAATTAACTGCTGGACGGCATCAGACAATGTTTGCGCAGCATTGAAACTTCTTCAAATCTTCGCCTTGCCTTTCATTTTGACCTGTATAATAGACTCACCTCATATTAAAAGGAACAAAAATCCTATAACTATCAAAATTTGATCAAGATTATCTTTTAAGATAAACTTATCCCCAAAAACAATCGACTTCACACAAACCATAAAAACGTGATTTGAGCAATTCTTTACTGAAATGGAGGGTTTTAGTGTAACCCAAACACTGCAGTTCAAATATCAATGTTTTCAAAAGACATCTTCGTTCATTTTGCATATTCCATTTGATTGAATCTAGATACACTCATTTGAAAAAAAATTCTGTTGGGTTCAAAAGAAAGAACATAGAAGCTGAGACTGACACGGCACGTGGAAACTAAGCTACCCGTAATATTATAGATGTACCTAGTGATATTACTAATGGAATTTTCATAAATTGTTGCTCTGACAGAAAGGACGTTTTATAATGACTGTGTATCTCACATGAATACAACAAAGGATAATTATATAAATTCCCAAAATATTGTTTGGTCTCAGCTGCTACCTTGTATATTTTGAACCTAATAATGATTTTTCAATCAAGTGCATATATTATATATCTACACATAAGAAGTAAACGTCAAATCAGAAGAGACAATTTCTCAGCAGCTCTTTATTGTTATGCTGTAAAATTATTACACATATTTTCTTAACGGTTGGACTTGGCTACACGCTCCAATTCATCTTTCTTCTTGATGGCATAAGAGTTAGATGATCCCTGAACCAGAAAAAAATGACTGTTAGTACCAGAAAAACTAGGGTGTGGTGACAGGATGTAAAAAATACCATAATCCAAAAAGTTTAAAGTTTGAAAAAAATTTTCTACAGTGTTTGATCAAATAAAAACATTTAAAAAAATTATTTTGAAAATGACTAAGCCAATATGTATTCCCTAAATATCAGTAAGTACTAGACAAGTGACAAGCACAGTCTACAGGTGACATAGATGCACACAAACACAAAATTTGGCAAGATATTCAAAGACTGAAAAACTCAAATTTATTGAACCAAAAAAAATGCAAAATTAATACAAACCTTGGCAGCATTGATCAGTTCATCAGCCAAACATTCAGCAATAGATTTGATGTTCCTGAAAGCAGCTTCCCTAGCTCCTGTACACAGAAGCCAGATGGCTTGGTTCACACGTCGGAGAGGAGACACGTCAACAGCCTGTCTACGAACAGTACCGGCACGTCCAATACGGGTGGAATCCTCACGAGGTCCACTGTTGATGATAGCATTTACAAGGACCTGAAGAGGGTTCTAAAAAGAATGTGTACAACTGTGATTAGTGCTTGATTCTTATGATTCTTGATATAAATTATCATTATAACACTGAAGTCAAATCACTAGGAGATAATTCTCAAGGACATAAAAGGTCTAATAATAGAGAAAGCTACATATCAAGAGCTTGATATCATTTTTTCCCAGGAGTTCCCACATCATGCTGCAAACAAGTCTGAGACATAAGGAAAACGAGTGCTCTTAACATGTAATATTTTGTTTAATATATTAAAGGTTGATACAATAACAAAAAATTTAGTTTACTGTAAAGTTATGTGATATCACTTCATTGATGTGGTTTTTGTTCAAGGCTTTATCATACTGATATCGACCCTGAATGTGTAATAGAAGGCTCTTTGCATATGGTTCAAATTCCAGCCATTAATCAAAGTGTGGTAGGGATAGCACAAAAAGACATGTTTAAAGTGCCTATCACCCTTCTGACGATATTCTCAGTAGTGATTCTACATGGGGTAAGATGTTGAATAACCCGAAAA